GAAATGGGGCAGCCACTCTCCCACTGAGCATTTTGGGGTTAAACACCCTGAAATGGGGCAGCCACTCTCCCACTGAGCATTTTGGGGTTAAACACGCTGCCATGGGGTAACCACTGTCCCAGTGAGCATTTTGGGGTTAAACACCCTGGAATGGGGCAGCTTTTGCTCCCTGCAGGCAGCTCAGGACACCTTGCTGCCCCTTCCCCCCCGTCAGCCCAAACTCCTCGTTTTTAGGATGGGTTTTGTTCGCCAGCTCCCAGGAAGCTGCTGGGGTGCTGCTGAGGAGTTTTATTTTCCACCTCGCTGCGTGTTTGCTCTTCCATGGAGAAAAAAAACACCACAAAAACTCCCAAGCAGCCTGATTTCAGGAGAACAGTTGGGGGGCTGTATATATAATATTCAGGAGATGCTCAGGGTGCTGGAATTTTGTAGAATCACACAACTGCTAAGGTTGGAAAAGGCTTTAAGATGATCCCTTCCAACCTGGCGCCAGAGGACACCGAGCGTGGCGTCTTCCCAACCTACCTCCTGGCCTGGAATTTTGACTCTTTTCCCAGATTTTTTTGGGGTTGATTTGGCTTTTGCTGTCCTGTTTCTCTCCCCCCGTCACAACCATCCCCGCTTCCTGCTGGTTGTCACCCTTCTGCCATCTCTAAACCCACTAACCTCCGGCTTTCTCATTCCCACTGAAAACTTCCACCTCATTCCTGCCTCTCCGGGCCTCGCGGCCAGCCAGGGATCCGTAATCCCATACGTGCCACTCTTTGCATAAGGTTCATGGGAGCTGGAGCCCCGCTCGAGCACCGTGAAATGCCAATAATTGTGTGTTCTAAGCTTTAATGAAACCCCGTTTTATTCGACCTTGAAGCTTCACTAACATGCTGAAGAACAAACAGCCGATGCCGGTGAATATCCGGGCCACCATGCAGCAGCAGCAGCTGGCCAGCGCTCGAAACAGACGTCTGGCCCAGCAGATGGAGAACAGACCGTCTGTGCAGGCCGCTCTGAAGCTCAAACAGGTGAGGGGAAAGGGGATTTAGGCCTTGCAGGATGTGGAAAAAGCTTCTCCGGAAAGAGAAAGAGGCCAGAGAAGGGAAGGGGATGGAGGGTGAGTGTGGGGAGCTGCTGGAGGAAAGGAGGCTCTGGGGGAACCTGCTGGCTTTCCACATCTCCCTGACAGGAGGGTCAGGTTGGACACAGGAATTTTTTCCTGGGAAGGGTGGTCAGGCTTTGGCAGGGGCTGCCCAGGGAAT